CCATCTCTAGATTATAAGATATATACTCTTTTCTCTAACCTATTTTCTTTCCAAAATGATGATCTACCTATCCAGGACTGCTACAAAACCCAACGGGTTAAGTGAGATCAGCTACTCAAGTACCAATGAACTAGAAGAAACAGAATGAGTTTTTTTTTTTTTTTTCAATTTTTCCTTGGGTTTCATCCATCTCTCCAATATGTACAATCACGTGATGGCAAAATTCTACAATCAATAACATCACAACTGCTCACATGGATTCTTTGGATCATTGAACCTTTGACTCCCTATCTATAGGTGTCTGACTAGTCTGCCCAAAATATGAGGCATCATGATGATTTTGACAATCATGACCATAATGATCAAATTGATAATATTCATGGTCATGGGAGAAAATGTTTGATCCTTAATCCCACTACAACCGAACTAAAATCAACTAACCTCCGCTAATGATATAGGGCCAAATTCAACTAACCCTCCGCTACCCAGCATGCCTCTGAACTATTTGTGACTATTGTTAGTGCTTTAACTCCAACTATGTATTTTCAGTCTATCAATTTTTCTCAAGCGAATAATAACCAACTAGTTCAACACTCAACCATATATGCCTTCCAAGTCATTGCCTCCTCTAGTTTTACAATAAATACTTCAAGAATCATTCAAGATTTTAGATTCGAGTGCACGTTCACAATCAATAGCTCAACATATGTTCAATTTATTTAATATGCCTTTGGACTTGGGTTCATATAGTGCCCATAACCTTTGTCATTAAGTTAAGTCTGGTCTCCTCTTATATGTTTGGGAAAAAGCTTAGCATCCCTCTCCAAATGCTTATCCCTCTTAGATGTTTAATATGATCTTAAATTTTGTTTACAAATCACTATTTATTCACTGTCCAACTAAAACTCACAATAATTTTGTAATCTAGTATCCCTCTCACTATGTTTTTAAGGATCTCAGCACAAGAAAGATGATTGATAAAGGTTTTGAAGCTAGTGGAGCTTATGTTTAACAAATAAGATTCCTTCGGGTTCTCTTCCACTGTTACTCCATTCTAGAGGCATTATCATATAGGTCATCCTCCAGCACATAAACTTCAAGTGTTTGTTGCAATCTACACCTTTATTTCAAAGCTTGATTGTAATATTTGTGAGCTGATTAGACATCATCAAATGTCTTCCATCTTCTATGTCATATCCTAGAAATATCATGTTAAAGTTCATACATTATAATATTTAGGGTCCTAGTTCTATCCTTAACTAGTTAGAATATCAATATTTTGTTACTTTTGTTGATGACTACTCAGAAGTACATGGAGGTATTTTCTAAAGTGTAGCTCAAAAGTAAGTCTTGTCAGTATTCAACATCTTTTATCATGAAAAAAATTTTCTTTTTCTACTTGACTAAAATCTTCATATTGATAATTTTCTAGACTATATGCATTCTCAATTTAGCTAATTTTGTGCCAAAATGGAATCATTCATAAAGCATTGTCCCAATACATCTCAGCACAATGGGATTACTAAACGCAAGCATCGCTAGCTACTTCAATGTAGCCTATTTAATGTTCATATTAATATTCCTCTTTAATTCCGGGGTGATGATATTTTGAATGCATACTACTATTAATTTTATCTCATCAATCATGGGTGGTGATGTCACCAAATACTCATTCTTTCTTTATCCAGGGTAGTCCCATTTTCTAATTACGGCTAAGAGTATAAATTATGTTTATTTTATGCACATTTTTTGAACTAGTGAAAAACTATCTCCTAGATGCCTTGGCTGAAATTTCCTAAAATATTCACATTCTCAGAAACGCTATCACAATCATGACCTAACTACAAGATGTATCTATACATATGTAAACATTACCGGGCAAATTTTCGTACTAAGCATAATTAATAATTAAACTGTAAGATTAAGCACGTTTTAGAAAGAATTTAAAAATAGGCAAAGTCGCTCGTTTGAAAGGCGACTTAGGTTTAATCCAAGGACCACGTGGCAGATGATGTGGCAGTTTGACTAAAATAACGTAAGTCGCCCCGTTAACCAGGCGACTTGTAAGTCGCCCGTTAACCGGGCGACTTAGAGTTAAATACAGCAACTTTTAACTTTCCCTTTCCGATCTGTTTCTTCTCTCCCACTTCTCCCCATTTTCCCCAGCTTGCTTGCGGTTGCTGTCGCCGGATCTAGCAAAGGTAAGGAATTTTTTATGCATTTTATGTTTAGTTAGTTCATTGTTTGTAGATTATTGTGTATTTTCGTTAGATTAAGAAAGATTTATGAATTTCAAACTACTCTTCAAGTTTTTTTGGGTGAATCTCTTTGTTTGTGGAAAATTTTTGTAGATCTGTTTAAGATTTGTCATTTAGCTTAGACTTAAGTAATTTATTCACCTTTTCCTTTCCCGATCAGACATTTCTCCCTCTTGCGCCATTTCGAGATCTGCTTGCTTTGCTCCGCCGTTCGTCGCCGGGATCAGTGTATGTGAAGTTATTTTATGCATTTTTATGTTAAATTAGTTTGATTTTTTATATCGGATTAGGTGGCAATTTTGTTAAATGGATTGTCATAGAAGTTTGAGGAGAGTCTATAACCTTGCATGTTAATAAAGTAGGTTTTGTGGAGTGGGTGAAGAGTAGGTTATCAAATAACGTGTTTTAATGAATTGCAAATTTAAGATACTATGATTATATAATGATTATAATATGCATATGGGTAAATTTGCTTTGTTATTTCTTTTTTCCTTTGGGCTTTATTTTGATTTTTCTTAAGGAAATAGTTATATATCATGAATTATTTTCTTTGCTGACCTTCCAATTGATGAATATTTCTCTTTTGCTTTTTTTAGTTTTTAATAACAATTTAGTCTTATGAAATGCGGAATACTAATGTCAAAAAATAAATCAATTGGGAACCCTCACATTATACATAAACATACTTAGGATCTTTAATTTGACATATATGCAGTATATTTGAAGAATAACTAAAATTTATATGCTATTAATTATGTATAAATAATTTATAAACATCCAAATATTTCATCTAGCATCTAATTATAAATTGTATAATATGCGAGGAGTTATTTGAATATTTATTATATTATTTCTATTTAATAAAATTTTATTGACGTATGCGCATTAAACTAGTATATATAAAATTGGCTTGAGTTTCCACCCAAATGCAATCCTAACCTTCATTTATTTACCAAGATGAATATCAACATTTCATTTTATTTATACATTTAATTAATTTATTTATTAACTTTATTCATTCTTATTTAATGCATGATGCTTTTCATTTTGTTTACATTAATTACATTTAAGTAAGAGTCAATTGCGCATTTAATTATATTTATTTTTACATTTAATTATGATCAATTGATATATTTATTTTTAATATTTTTAATTAATATTTACTATAACTATTAATATTTTAATTCATTAATTAATATTAATCATATATATAATATTATAAAACTTATATTTATTCTTCTCATATTGATTCCCCTTAAATTTATGTTGAATATCAATTCCTAATATTTAAATGTATGATTATTTATGCTACTTATTATAAAAGCCATTTGAATTTCTTTCCAACATTCTGTTTCTTCTAGTTCATTGGTACTTGAGTAGCTGATCTCACTTAACCCGTTGGGTTTTGTAGCAGTCCTGGATAGGTAGATCATCATTTTGGAAAGAAAATAGGTTAGAGAAAAGAGTATATATCTTATAATCTAGAGATGGAACTTTCTTGCAAATAGGTGGAGTGTAGAAAATCCCACATGGCCTTTCCTGTCTTTTAAAATAGGGTAGTAGAGGAAATAGAGGTTTTGATATTGTTGAGCATTCTAAGTGAAAGAAAAAAACGTTGTCTGAAGTTTTCCATTTGATGTAATTGGTGGTGTTAGGCCGTGAGAGGCAGAGAATTGAGTTGATTAAGTTTCTCATGAGATATTATAAGAAAATGCAAAGTTCAGGGCCATAGAAGATAGTTTTGGTACAATTGAGTTTGAATAATTTACTAATAATGGAGGGGGGATTTATTGAGAGATTCGTAGAAGCCATTGATTAACACCACTAATAGAAAACGAGGGACTAGGTAAACATTTAGGCAGTCATAGATCTAGACTCTGGTAGAGGTGTGCATGCATAGGGTAGGAGCTTGCATAATAGCAATGTAGTGCTTGCGGAAGACAACATGCACAAAGAAGTGGGGAATGTCCAACTGATTGGTTGCTGCATTCAAGCGCATGCGAGTGGGATCATACGAGCATTGTTTGAGGATCAAGAGCTGGATTGTTTCGGCAGTAGTGTGAGGGTGGTGCATATGGATTAGGAGAGAGATCGATTGTGGGGGAATGAAGCTGTATAATGGAGGGAAATGTACACAGGTGGGAATGGGGTCGAGCATAGTTTGAAAGTGTGGTGGCTACAT